ATAATAATAATAATAAAAATAATAATAATAATAATGATAATAATAATAATAAAAATAATAATAAAAATAATAATAATACATAGAGATTACTATTAAAACAATTAAACTTTAAGCACAGTGATTACTAAAATCTACAATGATTACTAACCAACATGCATGTTGTCAGAAGAAATGAATGAATTAAAGACGTATAATAGGAGTAATAATAATTACAAGCTAAAATATATTTTATTGAACAGGTTATTCATTCATTAACAAAATTAAATACTCCATTAATGTACTTTAATAGAGTATACTTTACTACAATAATGGTATTTGTCTAATATTTAGTATTCTAATTTGTTTAAATTTAGTATTTTTATTTAATAATAATAATAATTATAAATTAATGCAAGTCATTTTAAAAATTAAAATAAATTTAGAAAACTAAAAAAAATTAAACTTTAAGCACAGTGATTACTAAAATCTACAATGATTACTAACCAACATGCATGTTGTCAGAAGAAATGAATGAAATAAGGGCGTATAATAGGAGTGTACAATAGCAAATTAAGTCCTATTGTAAAGCTAGATAAAATAGATAAATTGTTCACCCTGTTGCCCACCCACTTTAACAATGGTATATTCCAATTGGGTGGTTTATGTCCTGGGTGGTTTATGTCCTGGGTGGTTTATGTCCTACATTCTCTGTTCTCACCTCTTATTGATTTGATTGAATTTTGTATTTTGAGAATTTATCCAATTTTGTTGTGGCTTTTATTTTAATTGTAAGAATTGTATGTCATCGTTATATGAAAACATGCCAAAAATCCCTATTAAGGGGACAATTTTATGTTTTTGATTAGTGTCAGGGGACACCCCTATTAAGGGGACGCTTTTTTTGGTCCCGAATGTGTCCCCTTAATAGGGGTTTATACTGTATTGGTACTGCATTTATTATATATATTCACAAATATTGTTTCCTTATAAAAAGAATTATAAATAATAAAATAGACTTGAATATACATAACAGAATAACAAAGTACTATTTTTTTTTCATGAGAGTTTTCTTTTTTAAATATATAGTAAATATAAATAAATATCATTTCAGTCTTTGATAGCTTTAATAATTAAATTTATAGTTAAATATTCATTAGAGTTTTCTTTTTTAAGAACAAGGGTTTTTCATAATTTAGCTTGCTTCCTTGGACCACTGACTACTGCAACAAATGCTTGAAAAATTATTTTCTCATGGTTCACTTCTGCAACAATTTGGGCATGAAGTCCACTACTTTTATCATTCCATACCTTCACAATATAACTACTACCAAGTTTTGATTCTGCCTCAAATGAAAACCTTAACTCCTGTGCAGAAAAAATATCTTCAACGCTAATGTTACCTAGCGCCCTCGACTCGGCGGCTGCTACGAAGGCATTGAAAACATGTCTAATATATGAAGTTTGTGTGGCGTGACCGTAGTTGTCGAGGTCTGTGTAAACAACAGTGACTTTCATTTGAAAATATTTTAATGAACAAACGTGTGCTTTGAAAGTGAACCTATTTAACGGAATTGTTTTTTTCACTGCCTTTCTAAAATATTCTGGTAGTGGAGCACTTTTTCGGGTTTCCTTGTCAACATATACAACAATGGGAAAGTTCGATACAAGAACATCACCCAGATTGTCTGCAATATGTTGCACAGCAGCATATGAAGATCGCCCGCAGTTTACAAGGTCAATAGTGTGGTGAATCTTCACGTTTGGTTGTGTCATGTACTGGTAAACTTTTGGGTTGATCTTTAAAGTCTGGGTTCGTAGAAATCCAAAACCATCTTGAAGTATTCTGTTTTCAACAGCAAGGTCTTCACAATCTTCATTGTACAGATTAACGAATATTTCAGCTAATGAATACCAGTTAAGAGAACCTGATGATTAAAAAGAAAAAGTAACACAATAATACTTTCAATTAAATACAACCACAATAATCATTTTTATTTTTTAATAAAAAGAAAGCTGTTGGGATTTCAGTTATAAAATCAGTTTAAAGTTGCCATTTACAACCGTTGCCATTTTGGTAATGGTGCTACCAAGTGTCCCAGTTTATTTCCATTGTCATCATTGCTACACTGGCTATTACACAGAAAGCAACATGAAAGGAGTGTTTTGTTCAGCCAAGGATGAAGGAAATAAATTATGTTTAATACACAAGGTATAGCAGAGATAAGACAATAATAAACAACTAAATTATATGGCCTGTAAAAACAGAGAATATTAGTTATTAGATTAGGTGGATACTAAATTGTATTACAGTACAAGATTTAAATTCACTTAATTATTTGATATTCAACATATTTAATTAGAATAATTATTAATCGATTACAGTATTCCATTCAAACATATTGTGCAACTAAAAAATTCAAATAAAATATAAATTGTCACATGATATTAAATTACAATTGACACTTCTTTTATGCCCTTAGAGATGATGTAAACATACTGAGATTTATATCCTTTGATTGACAGTGATGTAACACATGGCATCTAATTGCATATCAAAGTGTATTTAGGGTACATAGAAAATATTGTTAGATTATCATGCCCGCCCGCATCAAAAATTTTGGAAATATTGATGCAGGAATAATAAAAAAAAAAAATTGGCACGTCATTTATTTCAACACCATAAAAAAAAAATTCAATTTTGTCACTGGAAATACATTTTCTTTGAAATAAAAAAAAATAAACCAGTTTTTATAGGGCAATTCCATGCAAAATGGACAAAGCACCTAAATTTTCATATTCATTCTATATTTACAGTTTTGGTGTCTAGTTAAAGCATGAAACATATACTTTCAAGATGTAAACTCAGATTTGAAAATTTCAAATCAGAAGTATTGTTAAATATTAATTAAAATATGTCAATAAATAATTTTTTTATTTTGATAAAATTACACAAAAAACATACAAAAATACTGAGACTAAGATAAAACTTGAAATTATATTTAAAATCTAGTTTAATATGGTCAAATGGGTTACTATGAACATATATTTTCATTCAAATTTAATTTTGCCTCATTTTTTATTAACCAAAATGCGGAAATATTAAACCTAATAAATATGTCATTTAGTTACCAAAAAACAACAATAAGTAACTTTTTACAAAAAATATAAATGATTAAACAATACAAGTTTATATACAAAGCTAGTTATGAGAGAAATGATGATGGTTTTATACGTATTGTACATTTAATAAAAAATCTGTGAATTTAGAGGCCTTATTTTATTTATACAGTATCAAGAGCAATCCTTAGGGTATAACAATAAATGTAATATCTTTTATTTTTGGAAAAAAAATATTTATCATAAATATATGGTGACTTTTATTAACAAGACTCAGGTAACTAAATAACAAAAAATTTAGGCAACTTCAATATATTTTCTTATGATTTAAAGACATATTTTTAAGATAATTGGTTAATTAAGATCAAAACAATAGGATATCAAACTAAACATGAATGTTTAATGAAAATTTATTTATTAAAATTGATTAAAAAATGATTAGGGTTATTCCATGCCAATTCAACAAATGCATTACACCAAGGGACATCATTTTTTTCTCCACTTTTTGCACTCTGACATATTTACATTCATGAGAAATGAAAAACTTAAAATTTTGAGAATCCAATTCTTGTTAGTTTTTCTGCAGTGGCAGTTTAAAGTTAAGGAGCGGGCATGACCCAAGATAATGCGCCACAAAATTGAAAATTTATTTTCATATGCTAATATCTTCAGAAAGTACAACCCCTATAACCCTGAAAGGTTGTGTTTTAGGACCATGTTAGGACATATTTTCAAAGCTGATTCCAAATCTACAATCAGAAAAGTTGTACCATGTAACGATTAGAAATAGCAAATGTCTGAAAATGGGACGAAAACTTGTTTGGACAATTGTTGAAGAGGCTGCAATAGGAAGAGTTGAACTTTTTTAAATCTTTATATTTTCAGGAATCATAGCCCCATGTCAGATTTACGTCATTTAGTTACCGCTCATATTAATATAATTTTTTTAATAAGGAAAAGTGATTTTCACAAAAAAACTCATTCTGTATATATAGGAAGCTATTGTTATGAAAAAAATGTATTTGTTTTAGATTATTGGCAAAATTACCTTGTGGTACATGTTTGAAAATACAAATCTGTGTCAGAATGTCATTTAGTTACTGTGGAATTGCCCTAATACAATATTTACAATATTCTTGCCATTTAAAAACAGTCCCTCCCTCATCAATAAAAAAAGCAATATTCTATTGTTCCAATTAAAGAAAAAAAAAACAAAAAAAAAACACCCACCCTCATTACTTTTTCTTAAAAAAAGAGTGATAAATCTAATAATTTTTTCTATGTAACCCTTAAGTTGAAGTGCAAACTTCAAAACTAATGGTTTCTCAACTCTTTATTTTTGTTATATTAAATCACTCAACAAAAAATTTAAACAACAAAATATAGTAAATCAACCTGTCTTTGTTCGGAAGAATAAGCTGTCAATGCTTTGATGCCACTGGTCCACTGTTACTATGTCTGCTGCATTCTCTGCCATTGTTTCTTATAGTTCTGATGATTGTATTCAAGCTTCTTCAAATCTGACAAAAAGGCTGTATATCCCACCTACAGTATATATGTATATATGTACATTATTGGACGTCTTTATTAACCTGTGCTTTTTTATAATCCAGGGGCGGATTTTCGGGGGGGGGGGGGAGAGGGGAAGCCGAGCCAGCCAGCCCTGCCCCCAACCCTTTTTGTAAAAAAGTAAAAATAAGGGAAAGGGGGGAAGAAAGAAGAAATTTAACGATTGCCCAAAACGCCTCCCATACAGTATTATTTCCCAGCATCTAGAAAACATTGACAAAGGGTAGTAGTAGGCCTAGGCCTATTGTCTCTCGATCAGACATCTCTGTCCGCCCTTTATTGATTTATCAAGGATTTCCATGCAATGTATCGCATGTACAAATTAATACTTTACACAATATCATGCCCTTCCATCTTTCCCCTTCCCATCGTTTTCCCTCTCCTGGTTTTTTCTCCTTACTTTCACCTCTCTGCCTTTCCTATTCTAAACCTCTTTTTTTTTGGTAGACCAAATTATTCTATCCAAGCCCTAGGCCTGGAAGCGGCCACAAGTCAACTCGGCCACATGTCAACTCGGCCACAAATCATAGTTACCGTGCCGTACAGTTGTGGGATCCCACAATTTATTTATACTGTAAACAGGTTATGGAATAAAATACTTTATTAAAATGAATTGTAAATATTTCATTTCTGCATCCTTTTCTTCAATATGACAATGATTGAAATAAAGTAATGAGGTGAGGTGAACAATGCGACACAAGGTTTGTATTTTGTTGTTTATTTCCATTTTAATACATAATCCGATTCCGATTATGTTTATAAAATACACAAATAAATGGATAATAAAGTATAGTTTCAATATTTATAAATACACACAATATTATTAAAATTTTTTTAAGCTTTCAATCAATTTCATGTAGGCATGGATCCAGATTTCACACGATATTCGCAATTGGATTAGGATGATAATGTATGCAATCTAGCCGCAAACAAAAATATGTAAAACGTTTGGTAGTTAAACTGTAACTTTAGTGCATGGTATTTTAAAAATTCAGATGGCCCTATAAAATTATACGTTAATAACAAATTAATTAAAATATCATAATACGAACGATGTTTGCCCTACTTGACGTGTTTTTTTTTTTGCAAGGATTTGGGATACTGAGCGTATACCATAAACATGGCAGGAAGGGAAACATCATCCATATTATTATTTATGACTTTCCACTTTGTTACTTGCGCACTTAGCCCCCCATTCCCGGCAAGATTTCAGTTGTTATTAAGAAAAATAGACCTTTTCCACGAATCGGTAGACATCTTGAAATAATAACAAACATTGTGAATCAGCGGTGCGTAACCAACAGAAATAAGATAAGCTTTTGGGCTGATTTTCTGACATCATGTTATTTAAAAAGAATCATAACTCTATAACGGGGCATCGTATCCAAAAAATTTTTCCAACAAAATGTTCTTAAAAGACTATATCTACACCACTATATGATTGAAAATAAATTGAAAAATGTTTTTGACCTCTGAAACCAAGATGGAAAAAGAAAAGCCTAAGTAGTGTATTAAAAGGAAGCCGATCATTTCGGTCGCGCTTTGTTTCGGTCGCGCCTCGTTTCGTAGCGGTTTATTCGGAACAAATATATGGAGCGCCGAAGGAGTTGCAAAAACGCAAAATTTAATATGCCTAGGCCCTATACATTATTATAATTAGTTCGTCAATCGGTTTATCATAGGCCTATTTTTTTTATATTATTTCCGTTTTGATATCTTTCTACTAAAAACATTTTATCTTTCTACTAACATATTCTCTTTCTTCCATTTATGGTGATATATTTGTGATTGAAATATGATCTTATAAATAAAATTGAAAAAATGGAATTTAGTATGTGCTTCATGCTATTGTTTTTGTTGCGTTTTCATGTTCTACACTTTAATAATTATGGTCGATAAAATGTATCTTTGATTTTAATTGAATTGAATGTTGTTACCATCAGAAATCTATTTCATAATTTAGTTAATAAAAATAATAATGATCACAATATTTAATCTGATCTTTTTATACAATAAATTTATTTATTTTTCTTGCAGCTTCCAAAGTTTGGATAAAACGTACCAAGAGAATTGAAGGAAACACGAAGAAATAAACGAATAATAAACACATTATCATTTTTCACTTGAAATCTTTAATTTTCTTTGATACCCATGCGCAGTTCATAAATATGAATATATATTTGGTGATCCGCTAACGTTAGCGGATCACCTATTGTTATTGTACGGAATCATCATCTTCAACGGCGGTGTTGGCCTACGTTGTGTGTTTGAGTTAGTACGTTGCGTGTTTGTGCTAACACGTTGTGTGTTTGTGCTAGTACGTTGTGTGTTTGTAATTGTATTTTTGGCGGCGTTTGCCTTCCATACCAGCGCAGACGATTCGAAGTTACTGGTTTCGTGAAGTAGGTGAACACACGTGAAGTGGTGAACTGCACTCCAGTGCAAGTGTTTGTACATAGAAATAGCTAGTTGTATTTTAGCATCTGACCTACTTTTGTCTTGGCAATAATGTATCAAAAATAGAAATAAAACAAACAAGAAATCACAAACCTTGTGTTATCTTTGCCTTAAGAGTAACATGCCAATAGTTAGTGGCAATGTTTCTTTCCACAATTATACACCAGTTATGCAACAAAAGAAATAGCCCTAGCAAGTTGAGTGAATTTCTCGAGCTTATGAATATAACAGAAGCATGAAACGGCTTTTAAAATGTACAGCATGTAATTATAAAAGTATTGTTAATTTTATATGGAAAATATAAATATGGAACTACATATTTCCTTTACAATATTATTATAAACATGATCAGAACATTTATGGTAAATGGAAACGTGACAGACAAGAAAAAAGAAAAAAAAAACGTATGCAAAACTAATCTATTGACTATACTTATTCCATAAATCCTTATTTGATTCAAGCATTAATAATAAAAATTATATCAATATATATTGCAAGAAACAATGAAAAAAAAAAACGCATCTCAAACTCAGTCAACTTCGTAACATCTGCGTTGTTTCTGTAAAAAAAAGAAAAATAGCACCAAGTTATACAGTAATATAGTAAGAATAATAAACTTAAATACTAATAAAAATAATAGTTAATAAATTAATGTTACAGTAATTTAAATGACGAATCGGCTGGTTTTCTTAATAAAATGTAAATAAATAAAAGTAACAATATATAATAATATATAAATATATCAAAAAATAATACTGTACTAAGAGAAATACCAAATTTTTAGTATTCTTTTTATTTGCTGTATTTGTTATGTAGTAGGAAGCGAGGATCGATAACAAAACGAAAATAAAAACCGTCCGATAAAAGAGTAAAATGGTACTAGGAATGCAACAAACCTATAAATACCTTAATATTAATTGAAAGTTAGTTTAGTAATAATAATCTTCATTTTATTTGCTTTTAAGTAGCCTATGTTGTTACTTAGTAGAAAGACAACAAAACATAAATAAAAAAAGTATGATAAACCGATTGACGAACTTATAACAGGGGTTTATTTAAGAGCCGGCGGCCGGCGCATTCGATCGGCTACTACGATGTTTTCGCCGGCTACTTCAATCAATGCTGTACAAAAATTAATACAAACCAATATAAATAGCGCAACAGGCCTGTAAAGAACCTTATTTACCTACACAAAGTTAATTTGCAATAGTATGCACTCATTTCGATGTTTCTTTCTGTTGAAAGTTCGTTAAAATGTCTACCAATTTTCAGACTCCATGTTCAAACTCGCAGCATAAACAAAGTTAAAGTTCAAAGTTTGGCAGTCGCGCCTGGGTGAGTCCATCAAAGAAGCCATGCCTCCAAATCACATGTTAGCCAATAAGATAATAGAAATTTCTCCTCCACCACATGCTCAGGTGATGACGACATACATCGCCCAAACTCTTTTTCCGTACATTGGGCTTCCAGGTTTTCTTACCGCGGAGAAGAAAAAAACAGATCGTCATTTTAAAATTAATTTGTGTATGACTATGAACCTTTTATTTTCATTTCATTTTTATTTTACTAGCCCTCTTTGTGATGACATAGATATTTCGGAAATGATAAGTAATAAAAAAAAAACCAACACTGGCTCAAATTTGTTTACTCTCGGTGGCGGAGGTAGCAAGCCGAACCAACTATATTGAATGCTGTTTACACTCACAATTTCAGAGTCATAGATAGTAAAATGATTAAAACGGCAGAGCAAGCCAAAATCGTCTCAATTCACATCACATGAGACATTTTTTTTCCAATGTGGTATCCATTCTTTTTCGATATCTGCGTAAATTTTAGAACTATTTTTTGTAGCTCTCCTTAGATGTTTCCTTCAACAAAGATCTAAGGCATAGGCCTAAATGTTGAATCCCCAAAATTTCAACATGTTTGTGAAAAGTAATTCAACTAACATCATTATAAAAATTGTATTTTAAATTTATTTTGGTGGATTTTATTAAATGTGTAACTTAAAAAAGAATGTATTTCAATTATTGAATCAATATTCTGACCTTAAATTCTGATGCTGAGCTCGAAAAATTCGTAAATTCTAGGCCTATTCTAACCTACTGTACTCAGTAAGTATACTAATCAAGGAGGTTCTGATCATCACTGCATGTGATTGCACATGTGCAACCACTGTGCAGTTTATACTAAGAAGTTCAAATGGAAACTAATTTTCCGTCCCATATGACATACCACGATATTCAATCTCATCAATCAATGTGTTTGAATCGATATTAGGCCTACAGGAAAATAATTTGTTAATAAAACATTGATAAACATTGTTCATTTTGTAGGATGCTTGAATACCATACAAAATTATGGAATATCATATGAGTGAGTACTGTATGTGTGTAAACTTGTCTCTTTCTTATCTGCGCTTGGGATAGCCAGCTAAGTCCTGGTCCTAGCAACTGAGGTAGACTGCAGGCTTATGGCGCCTAAGCCTGCCTAGGCCTAGATACTGTAGCCTCCACAGTGGCTATAGGCCTATATCTAACCTGAGGCGCGACTGAAACGATCTGTATTCTATTAAAATAGGCCTATGCATTACAGTGCAGTAGTACATTACCAGTAACACTCTGGACCAGCTGATTCGCAATGTTTGTGTTTGTCATTACTTCAAGATGTTTACCGATTCATGGAAAAGGCCTAGGTCTGCGAAGAAACATAGGCCCTAGGCCTAGCCTAGGCTTAATTAGTAGTACTGTAGGCGCCGGAAACATTAGCCTATCCAACACTGCTAGGCTAGGCCTAGCCTTACCTCGATTTAGGTTCTGTTATCACACATAAAAATGGCCGACATGATCTTTTCCGTTGCTAGTAATAGTTTTGACACTTGTGAAATATAATATTTCATAGAAATTATTTCAAATCTGTTAAAAAAATGAATCTGACCGAGATTTTGCAATTAAACAAACACCTCAGGCCTACTCACTCGATCGCAGTGTGCGAGATATCAAAGAGTATTATCCTGATCAGAACAGGGTTGCCATCCAGAATCCAGATCCAGGCTTCACGGCCAAACACATGCCATGTCACGGCCAAATTCGGCCAAACTTTTTTCGATATCGGCCAAAATTCGGCCAGATTTTAATCTGATTAGAAGACAAGTGGGTACATTCATTTGAAATACTACAAAAATTATACGAAATTCAGCGGTCATTCGTTTGAAATTGAAGAAATTCAAATGATATACACACAAAAATGTTAAAAATAAATAGCCTATGTTCTTTAGTTGCTGGCATGCAGACCAATTCAGGGGAAAATCCAGAGATGTCGGAAAGGGGGAGGGCCGGGGCCGAAAAAGGGGGAGGAAGGGGAGAAAGTGGATCCGATCGAGATAACACCATCTTAGAGGAAATTTGTCTTTTCTAGACACCCGAAAATAGCCTGATGCGTTTGGGCGATCAATTTTTCTTTTTTCTTTTTTTTTTTTTTTCACCCCCTCCCTTAAATCCACCTCTGCTATTTAAAATCACAATATTAAGCTTGATCTCAATTTGATTTAAATGCATTAAATATTAATGTACATGGTAGTCGATCAAAAAATTTTAAGGGCCTGTTATTGGCAAAACCGTGGCTCTCTTTAATTCGAATGAATTAAGTTACATAGTTAGGTAACACAAACTGGCATGGCGTTAAAACAAACCTATGAAAACTTTAATAAATACTTTTTATAACTTTCTAAATTCGCCTCTGAATGTTATTGTCGCAGTACTTAAAACAATAAATCAATGTTGCTATCAGAATTATCTTCTTCATTCTCATATGCAACCTAACTCCAGAGTAACTTCGAACTGAGTCTCTCTGTAAAACTTGCTTGAAATTGGAGGTGCCATCGGACCAATGATCACATCGAGCATTAATGGTGCTCTACATAAAGAACACTGCGGCACCTAGAGCTATACAATTCAAGTGGGCAATAATAAATTAATTAAAGTACAGTATTTAATTTATATTCAAAAGAAATTCAAAAGTACAAACTTGCAATGAATTGTCTTCATAAAGCTTTTAAAAACGAGGATAAACTTTTTTTTTCTCTTTTGTGGGGTCGTCCCACTTTTATTCATAAGTTCAGCATACACAGTATAATTTGTAAAGAGTTGTTCAATATAGCTTCTTAAAATATCTTTAACAATTTTTTATTTATTTTTTTTTTTTACTTTCACTTGAAATTTATGCACATCGGTCAAGGTGTACAATTACCATGCCATTTTTTCTATTTGTTTTCTGTCATTTTAATAAAGGATATAATAAACTTCATAAAAAAATATATTTCATCCGAACAATTTAAATTATTAAATGTAACTGTTATCTTTTAAATAAACTCTATTACGTCAAATCGGCTGAATAGGGGAACATAGTTTAGTGCAAGTACAAACAAAGGTACAAGATTAGAATCAAATATAGAATATAACGTAGACTTGTTTTAGATATTTTGTTTTTGTTAGTTTAAAAGCTAACAAAAACAAAATATGCAAAACAAGTCTACGTTATTTTAGGCCTATATTGAAAAAAAAATGTAAACTTTTTAAAAATTCGGCCAAATATAGTTTGGCCGTGACTTTTTCAAATGCTACGGCCAGGCAAATTTTTATACGGCCAGATTTGAGGAATCTGGGCGTCAAAAAGGCCAAATGGCAACCCTGTAACAGAAGAGAGTCCACTGCTATTCTTAATACACGCCAATTGCATCCTGCTGCAGACCGGCAGCGAGGCGAAGTCAGCCACGCTTTGCCAAAAGCAGCCAGACATTGCAAAATCGTTAATGCAAAAGAATAGCCTGGGCGATACCATTTTCGCGAAGGTAATTTGATTTTCGACATAAACCATGTACAAAAAAAAATTATGATCGACCACTTTTATGGTTGCTGCCCTCTACAGTATTTCAACGTCAGTTTCAGTCATAGAGCTATTAAACATTATTATATCTCTATGGTTTCAGTTGTTAGAGGTGGTGGACAACCCAGTAATCATGATTGGGGCGAGTGGATACAGAAAGGTTCTGTATTCGGGGGTGCAGGGCGAAGGCCTTGATAAAGCAGACTAAATGTTGTGGCAGATAATGTCCTGGTTTATTTGTCTCCTGTCTCTTTTTTAGGCCTATGTGTTTTCTTCAAATAACTTTAAATTGTGTTCGACGCACTAAAGTTAATCGAAAATTAAGGTAAGGCTAAGTACTGTAGCCCGTTAATGTAGTTAAAGGCATTAAACATCATTGTCTGCTGCCCTCTATTGGTAAAATTTTATTTTTGTTGTATGAATTTGGCTGGTTTTCTTGGTTCTAATACTGGTATTTGGTAGAGTCGTATGTGTGTAACTAATTAGATACATTGATAAACAAAATCCCATTTGTATTCATGTTTATTTTTTTTCATTAAAGAATGTAAATAACCATATTATTTGTTAATTGCAGTGACAGTTTCCTATCAATATTTTTTTAAGTGCATGTTAATACAGCTACAATTTCTTGGTATTTTCAAGTCTAGGCAACAACAAAATCGTTTAGAAGACTGTTTGATTATGAAGATCATTGTAAATACCATATTTATTGGAATAAACACCCAGGGACTTTCATTGATTATTTGAGGGAGACCTTCTTTTTTGGTATGAATTAGATGCGTATATTATACTCAAAATGTATGCCCTTAAATTTCACTACAACACATAACTACTATCAAAATGAAAAAAAAGTGTAAATCTACTGGAGTAGAAAATCAATAAAATCTGTTGACAATGATGTTGCTTTGATTTACAGTCATTTGGTTGAGTGGGAAGTTAATTATTTGAGGAAAAAAATTAAGGTGTTTATTCCAAATGACGCTCTAGAGGGGATGTTTATTCAAATAAATACGGTAGCAGATTTATCTATGATTAACACTTTCATGTAGACCTTTTGAAGAATGAGACTATCTCACATCAGAAACCATCCCGGTACTTATGAATCCGGATTTCGGGGGTTACACAAAAAAGGTGACATGAAATTTCTTGATATTTACCATAGGTCTAAATAATAATGAATTATAGATTATGGATTCATTTACAGTAACAACAGGCACATTTCAGTCTTCTGCTGAACACCATCTCAGTATTTCTGTCTAATTTTTGGAACTAAACAAAATCAAAGGATGATGTGATAACAGCCTTCATGCATCTTGGCACGACAGGCACAATTTTGCTGGAACAATATCGTTTGGCAAACCTACCTGTTACAACTCTCTGTGTTTAAAAAACCGTTGGCAGAATCCGAAAAAAAAATCTGCCTACAAAAAGAGCGCACCTAATTGCAAGAAGTCATTTCCGTGAGATCTGCGGTGGTGGTGGGTCGAAGGGTGGGGGTTGGGAGGGACTTTCACAGGTGGAAGGTGTGAACCACATCAGCCCCATCATGGTTGGAGCTGAGGAAAATACATATGATTGTGGTACGTTTCGATGGCGGGAAATAGCCTTCTAGACATAAATTTGAATATCATTTTCATTTCTACCCCATTTTTTCCATAGTTTTTAAAAATGTAGGAGGCACGGCCGGCTTTCCTCCTTCCTTTGCTGTACTACTGATCTGGTTAAAGACATTTAATTATATTTTGCTACACATAGTGATACCCACCAGCACTGACTTCCTTAGAAAATTGATAATAAACCAGTGAAAATATGCAAAAATTATGAATTTGCGGAGATGGGTTTATATCCGGGAGATTATTGCTTGCAGGAGTGTGGGAGACCGTCCTGATTTCCCGGAGACTCTTGCGAGTTCCGGGAGACTTGGGACCCCTGCAGTGTCAATGTTTCTGTCAGGGTATAACTTACAATTGATAATACTTTCTTGTTGCTTAAAACCACCTAACATAGAGGAAACTGAGATGTGCTGGCCAGGACACTAGGGTTTTCATAAAATAGTATAGATCACTCCATTTGTATTATCATCTGAGGTCCATACTAGATTCTAACAATTTGATATTAGGCCTACTATGGCTCTAAATTAGGCAGTCATGTTTCAGCTCGCTTATTTTTTTCTTTACTGTCAATGTAATATTGTTTTAGCCTCGACTCAGAATGATGATGTTGGACAGAGAATTATTTATCCACTTTTTATTTTTTATGAGAAGTGCCTATTATTATGTGAATTGCAATTATCTACTATCTGACATTGTTACAATTTGATGTGATTTGTTTCGAAATTCTCACAGGTAAACACAACAATTAGAGAATTTCTGGATAACCCACAAAGCATTTCTGCTTGTTTCCGAAATGGTCCGATTGAAATAATAAGAAATAATGCTACAATGACAAAATACAAAAAAAAGCCTTATCCATAGCTCTCAGTATCAAAAACATTTCATGTCACCTTATGTTTTTTTGCCAAATGATTTTGTTTAACGATTGTTTTAATGAGTTTTTGTTGGTCTCCGGTGGGGATAGTTTCACCCATTAAAACTTTGATTGTAGATAACAAACTATGTTATGATTAACACTTTTTAATAAAAATTGCTCCAAATTAAGCAATCTAATTTCATGTTTCTTATGTTTTCTGCTAAATGATTTTGTTTTGGCCCTGAAAGCTATAGTCAATACAGTAAAGGTTCTACACAACAAAAATGATATTTTTCCATTATTTCATTAAAAAAAACTAATAAACATGAATATAAATGTTTTTGTTATCAGCGTATCAATCCAGTTACAAACAAGAATCTACAAAGTATCGGTATGCAATTTTCACCAATAGAGGGTAGAAGACAATGACATGTTTAATGGCAAATAACTCCGTTACTATTCATTTTTTTCCTATTAGTGTAAAGGGAAAAAATATTCAGTGCATTGCTTCCTTTGCAATGATACAACATAATGATATGTTTGGCTAGATGTGTTCGCCATCTTGTTTTCCAAGATGGCGGCCAGTTAACCTTCTCGAAAAAATTGGCACCAACATTTTTCTTGTTCAGTATAAAATTCTGAGTCTGAAAAGCGTTGTTGCCATAAAATTAACATGA